CAGGTTTGCTGTTTTTATTGCATTCCCTATTTTGTGAAGGGCACTTTGTATACTCTTTGCATCTTTACCGGATCTTAGTGCCCTGTCTGCGTCTGAGATTCGGTGTCTGGCCTACCTCGACGACTGGCTGGAGTGGGCTCCCAGTCAGTCCGCTTGTCTGCTCGCCAGGGGATGGTTCTTTCCAGATCGCTGGGTTTGGTTTCCTGGTGATCTGGAGGTTTTACCTTCTGTTTCCGTCCCGGGTTCGGACCTGGGCCTTGTTTCAGGCTCTTGGGCCCCTCATTGTCTTCCCTCCAGAAGTGTTACTGTGGCTGTGGTCCCGCCTTTGGCTGTTCAGGAGGGGGTCCCGGGTTGCTCAGCGGTTGCTTGGGCGGTTGTGCGGGAGTTTGCACTTCGGCGTGCTTGTCTGCCCGCGGAGTCGGGTTTGGCTCCGGCATCGGTTGGTTCCTACGGAGACTCCACTTCCGCCTCTTGCATTCCTTGGGTTCCTCTGGGGATCTGGTGTTGGTGCTGCGTCACCAGCTTCCTCTTTGGGGTTTTCGGGGTTCCGTGCCTTGGCGGCTCCCCGAGCTTTCGCTCGATGTGTTCACGGACGGGTCGTCTCTCGGCTGGGGCTTTGAGACCTGTGCTCACCAGGTCGGCCGAGGTTGATGGAGTCTGTCTGTCCGTCGGGCTCACAGCCCGGTTCAGGTGTTCATGGCTGTCTGGTTTGCGCTTCGGAGGGTTTGGGTCACTAGGTACTCTACCATTCAGCTCTGTTTGGACTGTTCTCTGGTGGTTCTTGCCGGAACCACAGGGGGTTTGGTTAACCGTGTGGTTCGTGTCCGGGGTGTGTCCTGCGTCCTGGTGGACAGCTGTCTCGGTTCATTCCTCTTCGTGGGTTGGCCAGTCGTCGCCGATTCGTTTTGTTGGCTCTGTTGGGCTTATGGACTCCTGGCCATGGACGTCTTCGGGTCGGCGTGGTCTAGGCGTCGCCCGTTTTGTGGCGCCCTTCCCACCTGCGAGGACTTCACGGTGGAGGCTTTCGGCAGGCCTGGTCGAGGTGGGGGGTACCTGTACCTCTTCTCCCGGTCCAGCTGTTGCTTCGGGTTCTGGCTCAGTTGCAGCCCATTCCCACGAGAACAGTCCTTATGGTTCCACTGTGGCCGGCCCGGCCTTCTTTTCAGACGCTGCTTGATAGGTGTCCGTACCCGGGGCGTTTTTCCTGAGGCTTCGCCTCTTTCAGCAGGCCGAATCGGTCCTGTCCGTGACTGGTTCGGCCTTCTCTTTGGCTCTTCGCGTCTGGTATTTTGACGCAGGTATCGCCATCTCTATGGTGTTCAGGTGGCTTTGTTGACGGTGTCCCACCTGCGAGCTTCGTCTTGGAGACTGTATGACGGTTATTACGTCTTCTCGCGTTTTGTTTCCCCTCCGGCCTGCTCATGAGTCGCCTGAGCCATCCTGGTCCTTGTTCAGGGTGCCTTCTTCTCTTCCCCTCAGTTTGTGGTAGCCCCTTCGGTTTCAGTTTCCTCCTCTTTGGTACTGGTGGTAGCTTTATTGGTGTGCAGCCTTTCTCTGTCCTGGCGACGGTCGAGACGGCTGCTTTCCGGAGGGGTTCTTGGGGTATTGGTACTTGTTTGGTTTGGCCGGGGGGTGCGTCCTGTGTTGTCCAGTTGTGCTTTTTGCTGTTGCCGGCGTACCGTGCCTGGGGATGCGCTGTGGTTGATCCGGTTCCTTCGTTCCCTGTTTTCAGGGCTCGGGTCTCCCGGGTCGTCCGCAGTGTTTTCCTTCTTACTGCGGTCTGTCTTTGCGCCCGTGCTGTTCAGACGTTTGCAGCAATTGCTGCTGTGTTGGTGACGTCTCGGGCTCATTTCAGGCGCAGGGAATTGTGGGTCGCACAGGTTTTTGGCCGCCCATCCATATGTGCGTCTGTTCTTGGGCGTTCTTGTTGCCTTGGGTCGCCGGTTTGCGACCGGTTGTCTTGGCTTTGCGTTGCAGAGTTTGTGGCGGCCGCCTCCCGGGTTAGCCCTTTCTTTTCCTTCTCTTTGGGTATGAAGCTCCAGGGAGCCGTAGGGGCTCCCCACAGAAAACCAGCGTTGAATGTAATGAAACGCCATTTTCTGGGTGAGCCCCGGAGGCTCCCTGGAAACCCTCCCTCCCACCGGTCGGCGGTTTTTTCGCGTTGGTTGAAGCTTAGCTTCCGAACTGGAGCTTGGCAGCCGGCGCGGTAGGTCCGGGGCTCCCCCTCCCCCTCCCGGGGTGGGGAGGGCTGCGCGGACGATCGGCGCGGCAGTAAAGTGTGATGTTTGCTTGTTTGCTTGTTTCCTTGGGATTGTAGGGAGTTTTCTACCTCTCTGTTCGGTTTTTGTTGTAGTTTCTTACCATGTGGGGTTTGTTTTGTTACACCTACCTTTCTGGGTGCCTAACCCCGGTCGATGGCAGATAAGGAAAACCCCCAACCATATGGGGTTTTCCAGGGCCATTGCTCCCTGAAACCTCTCTGAAGGGGCCAGGTTCTGGCGCTGGTCCCTGGTAGGTCTGAACTCCTTAGCTAATGTCCCGGTCTAACATAACACACATTAGCCCGATAAGCTCCAGGGAGCCTCCGGGGCTCACCCAGAAAATGGCGTTTCATTACATTCAACGCTGGTTTTTTTCTTATGAAATGATAAAGCTACCCATTTCATTATGTATAAGGTCAATTTTTTTTTATTGGAGTTAAAATTAACGTAGATATATGACCGAACCTAACCTAACCTATCTTTATAGGTTAGGTTAGGTAGCCGAAAAAGTTAGGTTAGGTTAGGTTAGGTAGGTTAGGTAGTCGAAAAACAATTAATTCATGAAAACTTGGCTTACTAGGCAAATTTGGCCTTGCATAGTAGGCTGAGAAGTGAGTTCTGGCTACTAGGTACGACACATATATATATATATATATATATATATATATATATATATATATATATATATATATATATATATATATATATATATATATATATATATATATATATATATATATATATATATATATATATATATATATATATATATATATATATATATATATATATATATATATATATATATATATATATATATATATATATATATATATATATATATATATATATATATATATATATATATATATATATATATATATATATATATATATATATATATATATATATATATATATATATATATATATATATATATATATATATATATATATATATATATATATATATATATATATATATATATATATATATATATATATATATACATACATACATACATACATACATACATACATACATACATACATACATACATACATACATACATACATACATACAGTGGAACCTCGATTAACGAGTCGCTCTATTAACGAGTTTTTCCAGTAATGAGCAAGCCACTCGCAGCAAATTTGTCTCTATTGACGAGCTCGCCTCTATTAACGAACAAAACCACATGGTGCTTCCTAGCATCTCGCGGGTTCTTGCAAATTCTTGGACACCTCCAACGCCATTGTTGTTGTTGTATCGCACACGACAAGCATCCCTCTGGATTTATTTGAGCTTTTCTTTGGGTTTTTAGTGGTTTTGCGACTACAATTTGTAACACACATTGTCTCCAAAGAAGCTGCTTGCTAAAGATAGTGTTGTCAAGAGGAAGAAAGACACAATTACTGTGGATTTAAAGAAGGAAATTATAGCAAAGCATGAGTGTGGTGTCTGTGTGACTGATCTCACAAGGGAGTATGGCAGGTCCTCATCAACAATTTACACCATTAGTAAGGGAATGAGGAGGTAAGATAGGATGCTGCCACTTCCACTGAGATCAGGGAAGTGTTTGGAATGTTTGAAAAGGTGAACGCATTCTTGGAAAAGCTGCCCTGATAAAGCAGTGACAACCCGGTGTGTGAAAATGTTTAATTAATTTATCACTTTGTGATAACACTTTATGAAAGTGTTATCACTTTCGCAGGTATATGTTGCTTGAACGTGACACTTTTTTCTCTTGAATGCACCCAAACACCGCGCTCAAGCGTCATTTGAGCAAATATTTCTATAAAATCCAATTCTTATCCGATCGACTTGGGGATTGTATACATGTTTGCCATGAAATTTCCGTTTTCTTTAATAACCACATTGCCTGTTTGAGAAAACGGCATTGTATTGTATCTTCGTGGTAAGACTATTATATTGTTGACACAACGCGTGTAATCGACGTAGTTTTTTATTTGGTGCTGGTCTAACGCATCCTTGTGTGACATTTGAAATGAAATTTGGGTGAAATTCCCAAGAAGAGAGAGTCCGCCTGACTCAGAGGTGGATTCTCCTTCCACACCATAACCCCTCTCCTCCTTCCCACCTCCCCATTGTCTCCCTCAAGCCAGCAACTGCTCTTCATAAGGTAAAGTAAATATTAAAACACTACAACAAAACATTTATATTTACATGTGCAGTATTATATTTACATAAAAAAAAGTCATACAAGTATGGATGTTTTTGGGAGTGGAACGGATTAAATTTATTTCCTTTATTTTAAATAGGGAAATTTGTTTCTTAAGACGAGTTTTCCAGGTAACGAGCTCAGTGCCAGAACGGATTAAACTCATTAATAGAGGTTCCACTGTATATATATATATATATATATATATATATATATATATATATATATATATATATATATATATATATATATATATATATATATATATAATATAGAGTGTGAGACCTTAACATACCACATAGTTTAATATTCCATATTCCCAGTAAGTATTCTCAATATTCACTTGAAAGGACAGTTCTGGCAGGACATAAATTTAGAACCATATTGACTCATGTCTCCTATGCATCCACTCTCTCTCTCCCTCACTATATTGACTTACCAAAGCAATCTGTCATTGAATGTAATGAATTGACTCATTCTGGATGGCCCCCTCAGTGGCTTACCAAGGGGGTGGAGCACACGGAAAGATATTTACCATTGTTATTTGTTACTGGCAGACCCACCAGTGTCACAACAAACATGGTAGTGACTTCGTCTTCGTGGGATCGTCAAGCCTGCTCGCTACAGCCGGACAGTCGTCAGAACACCGCAATGTAGCTCTATGGGATACGTTGCTCCCACAGAGGAAAGCCAATGTTGTCTGTAAGTGTGCAAGATACAGTATTCGTCTGCATTGTACAACATTCTCCTCCTTTCTCAGACATGTTTAATGCTATAGAATATTGCATAAACAAAACTGTTAACATGTTATTAATTATTAACTGCTCCATTGGACAAATTTTAGTATATTTTATTTTGTTTCAGTGTGTGTATATATGTGTGTGTGTGTGGGTGTGAATAAAATTACTGAAAATAATGTATTTAAAATAGCCCAGCAAATTTAAATAAAATTTTGTAGATGGGTTAAATCTCGGACAAAAAATAATTTGGTTTTGCAAAAGTGTATAGAAGGCTTCATAGCCGTTTGTTTCTAGAAGAAGTAAACAGATCATCCACTTTGATCAAGTTTGCTAATAAGGTGGTGGGAGTGAGAATGGGGAGCAGGTGTAGACCTGCAGCAGCTCCCAAGCCCAGCCTCTTTGACTTACACTGTGAAGGCTGAAGTGTGTTGGGTTGCATGTTGACTTGCACCACGCTGAAGAGCTGTTGAACTTGAATTTCTCGGATGTGAATTGTTTTATAGGTGAGGCTCAGAAAATAAGTGGATATATTAGTCTTGTATAGTGAAGTGGTTGAAAGTATGAATCGGTGTGTAAGTTTACATAGTGAAGTAACACAGTGTTTAGTACATAAAATTCTCTAGCTGTGATGTGTTCATTCAATTCTAATTATAGTTTGAAACACCTGAGCAGGCTAAGAGGCTCATTGTGTTCCATCCAACTTAGTTCTTGGGAAGAAAATGTGGATAATATTTGTATTTTATGAACAGTAAGTAAAAAACTAATGGTTTTTATTAGGGTACCATTATAGTACCCTTCTTTTGGGATAAAATGTTCTATTGCTTTTGCAGCCTGGAATTGTCATGAGAGTGGAGCCTCAGCATTGCTATATGCCCCCCAGCATCAAGTGATTCTCTCAGCTGGCAAGAAAGGCACAGTCTGCATCTTTGACGTTAGACAGCGCACTCTTAGACACAAGTTCCAGGTAGGGTTTATTCTAATCACATATTTAATCCATCCACAAAGTTATTTGACACTGTTACAGTGTGCCATATTCTGCACCATCACCATACACTTTACGTCATTTCTTCACTCTTGGCCTTCCTCGTCTTATTCGTGGTCTCTTGTAGTTCAACTCATTTAATGCTATCATCTTGCTATCATCACCTGTCCCCCTTCCCCTGCATTTTTGTATTGTCTTCAAGTTTCAAAAGCACACCCGCCTTATTGTGATGTGTGCCGTATTATTTTGAAACTATGGTTTCAGAAATAACAGGTAATGTTTTGCAGGTAATAAGTCACGATAATGTGGTTGAAAATTAGTAACCCAACCCACACGTGGAAAGAAAGGGAAAGTGATGACATTTCAGCTTGTCCTGGACCCTTATCGGGTTTAGTTTATAATGGTTCAGGACGGACTGAAACGTTGTCACTTTCAGTTCATGTTTGTGGAGTTGGGTTACTAGGTAATCTTTTATTATGACATTGAAAATCACCGTGGCACTCACACCTGGGTTACGTAAGGAGTTAGATGCTGAGCCAGTAAAGGTTGCAGCCAGAGAGCCCCACAATCATCACTGTAGTGGACCGTTGACTGTCAGTACGCCATGCTTTTACTTAGAACGTTGATCTGAAGTGACAAGACATATCAAAGATAGAACATGTACAAAGATCTTTAACTAGTCACACACCATCTTAATTACTGTGTCTACATTAAAGTATTTTGCCATGTAGACTTCAACTTGTCATAAACGTAAACAAGAATTAATTGTGGAACAAGAATAAGATTCTTGCAAGAGGAACTTTAATAGTTCCTATGTGCAGTGCCACATCAGCTATGAGCATAGACTCTCCAAAATGGTTGCAGGTAAACCACAGGTAATCAGTAGTTACACAAACAATGTACTGTAAGGTGCTGTAGTTGGATGGCAAGATAAATACAGTAGTGAGGTTGCTTTTCCCCACAAGGGGTATGATTTACCTGTACTGGTGTTCATGGATATTGAGCTCTAGTTCCCAGGCTCCATTTACATGCATTCTTGTGACTGCCTCTTTGTGGTTTAACCTCTCTAGGAAGTATTAGCCTCCCTAGGTATTATTAACCTCTCGAGGTATTATTAACCTTTCTAGGTAATATTAACCTCCCTAGGTATTATTAACCTCTAGGTAATATTAGTATTAACCTCTCTCTAGGTAATATTAACCTCACTAGATAATATTAACCTTTAGGTAATATCTCCAGGTAATATTAACACTATTAGTGGTAATATTAACACTAGGTAATATTACCTAGAAATATTTCTCATTCTGTAACATTAACCTCACTATGCAATATTAATCTCTCTCCATTAACCCCTCTAGAATATATTGACTCCTCTAAGATATATTAACTCCAGGCTCTATTAACCTATAGGCTATTGAATAAACTATACTATACAAGAATATGTGTCTTATCAGCCCAAAGTTGGTGGCCAGCACTTTGGGCTGGCCTTACCCCAGTATTGTAGGGGAAATGGTCTGGGGTACGAGCGGGGGAGGGACCTTAGATGACCTAAAGTACACGCTTCCTGTCCCCAACAACACTAATAGGAATGTTTTGATTTTATGACTGTTGGTGAGAATTTCTGAATATATTTTGTATACCAAAGGCTAGCAGAAGCATTCCACTTGTGATACTTGTATTTTTGGAATTATGTTGAGCTGTTTATTAATGTTATGTAAATTTCCAGGCACATGATGCAGCCATTAAGTGCATGGCTCTAGATCAGAGCGAAGAATTCTTCTGTACAGGCTCAGCGGATGGAGATATCAAGGTAACAAGCCAGAGATTCTTGATATTGGGTTTGGTGTTGGGCTTATGGCCTATCAACATCTGGAGGGTTATTAAGGCCTATTAATGGCTAGAGGGTTATTAAAGCATATCATCTAGTAGAATTATACTTGGTGTGCTTATTACATATCTCAACTTTAAAGTTTTCATCATATTTTAGTGACTTGCACTTTAGTTATGGATGAAGATCATTGGGCTTTTTCACCTTCCTTCCATATCACTCATGATTGACAGTCCATTTTCCCAATACTGGTACATGTTTTTGATGTCTCTTAGACAGGGTTAGTCTTCCACAGAAGCTAGACATGCTGTTGAGTCAGAGACATGTAAGAAAGTTTTTATTCCCTGTCCGGGTTGTTGCCAAGCGGAATGTGCTGAAGGAAGAGGTTGTTGAAGCTAATTCCAGCCACAACTTTAAGACACAAATATGATGAAATCATTAATGTTGAGATTGGTAATTAGCATGCCAGGTATAAACTGGTAGAAGGTGTTGGGATAAACAGATAGATCTCACTCCCCCATAGTGACTGATAGGTAAGCATGTGAGCTACACAAATTGAGAAGCTGACTGCTTCATCTTAATTATCATCACTGCTGTGCAGTCATTCTGCCCCAACATTGTCATCCTTGTTCTTCCTAGATTAATTGTTTTGCACCTAGAACCAGGGCCAGGACTCATCGAGTCCACTTACAAAATTGTTCCTCAATCTTGGTGACTTATTTTGAATTTATTAAACAGTTTATGAGGGTTACAGTGACAAGCACTGGTTCATAGCAATATTATTGCTAGTGAACCAGTGCTATTGGTTCACAGCAATAATAACCTTGGGTGGGGAACAATCTCACAGCACAGTTCGTAACCTGTTCCATAAATACAGTCAAAGCTGCCATGATTGAGAAAAGGTGTACAGGTTTCATAAGTGGAAACGTAAATGTTTCATGAATCTCTCGCGTCAATTAGGATAGGTTCGATTGGGTTGGGTTAGGCTAGGTTAGGTTGGGTTAGGTATATGTATAGAGTAGCAATGATGTAGTGGGGTACATAATTTTTCCAGGTCTTAGACCCTATTTATGATGCGAGTCATTGTAGGTTAGCTCTCGGTTCCGGGCACGATAAGTCATCTTGTCAACACCTGTTACATTGCCTGTACAGTAGAAGTAACACACTACCATCACGGCAACAAATTGCAGATGCTTCACACATCCTCATCTCATAACCCAGGAACCAGGGTTCAATTCTCGGGCAGAACAGAAATGGTTGGGGAGCATGTTTCCTTTCATCTGATGCCTCTGTTCACCTAGCAGTAAATAAGTACCCAGGAGTTAGACAACTATTGTGGGTTGCATCTTGGGGAAAAGCAGAAGTTGGCTTAGGGAAGAGAAGGGGACCTTAATGAGCCTAAGCATAAGCTTCCTGTCCCTTGACAATAGGAAAGTTAAAATGTGTTACCGTGTGCCTCACAAGTGAAATTCACATTAACCATTGTACCCTAAAGTCCACTTGCCTTCACCTACCACCCTGGCTATGAGTCCATTAGTTCTTCTTCCCTGCTTGATATCTTTTCCACATTTCCCAGTGATCTGTGTGCATGAGCTTTGTTATTGAAGCCCTACCAGGGGAAGAGTGGCCATCTTTTTAACTGTTGAAGTTTGGTAGTTCATTGTACTTGTACCTGTATAACCTTAACAACCATCTGATGATTCTTCTTTATCAGTCTAGAGCTGAGAATACTGTAAAATGACTTGGATGCTATCCAATGATAATTCTATCGTCAAAATTATGTGAGAGCAAAAGTAGCCATTACATCGTGGATTTTGTTTTTCATAGGTTCAAGTTTATTATTTTGATATTTAAAAATGTAGCAGTGTATTGTTTGCTAAATGTTTTTCATTTTTACTTATACATGGCTCCAGTCACTACTTGTGATTACTTCATGTGGACAAATCATTATATACAATTGTTCGTACAGTATTTGATATTTTAAGTTTTTTTTTCCCAGATGCACCACAATGTATGTTTGAATAGGTGGGTATTCCAAGAGTTAATTCTTACATGACTATTCATCTGTGTTGTTCTCTCTTGTAGGTTTGGGGTCTGACCATCCATAACCTTATATACAACTTGCCTGGAGAACATTCACGGTCTTCACTCTTCAAGAATTTGAGCCAAGGTGTAACCCAGCTCCAGCTTGACGTAAACAACAGACTTTATTCCTGTGGTGCTGACGGCTCCATTAAACTACGGCTGCTGCCAGAGAGAGACCTAAATGTTTGCCACGTCTAAATAGCTTGCAATAACAAGGTGGGCCATTTGGTTATTTAATAAACAAGCATAGTAACTGTATATATTTACACACACGCACACTACATAAATATAGTAAACGTCAGTCAAACGGACTGATTGGAATTAGATATGATCTAGCTCGCCAAAAGTTCAAGTTCCCAGAGTAAACAAAACAAAAAATTTGTTGTAAACAAATTTCTGATTACAAATGATAGAACATATTTTTGTGCATATACAGTAATACTCAATACTGTATAATGCATTTTAAAAATACTGGAAAGTAAAACAAACAAGATAAAAAATTAAGGAAAAATATTAAAAACTGTACTTTTAAGTTGCCTTGAAGGTGAAGCTGCTTTTTTTTACCATGAGTTTTGAGAATGTGGATATATAGTATAGTAGTGTAGTAGATGGGGTAGCCAGCAGGCCTTTGGTTAATCCAGTGCTTAGCTCTCTCCCTCACACACACACACCCTCCCTGCCTCTCTACACATTGCTGTAACAATTTTGCTGTACACACTATCTTCATCACTGTAAACATGTTCACACCATATACATTCTCCACAATACACTCATTTCCCCAACATGCCCTCCCCATCTCTCTCTCTCTCTCTGCCCACATATGCCCTTTGTCCACCTGTTTCCTCCCTGTCCTCGCCCACCTCTCCTTACACACGCCCATTCCTCGTCTCTTCCCTCTTTGAAAACACCACATGTCCTTCCCCAGTCTCCTCCCTGCCAGTGTAACCAAAAGGTTGTGGCCAGAATGCAGCTCTGACAGCAGAACACATGTTTTACAAATCAGTATCTGAATTCACTATTATTTAAACTAAAGCTGAAGTCAATGACTCTGGGTTATCATTTCACATCCTCAGACTTGGTGAAGGATTAGCACTGTACCCACCCCAACCTCTTCGTGGCATTCGATAAATTCATCATTAATGCTGTAAAAGTGTAATGTGACTGGCACCAAGCCCAAGCAGACACATGCATTTTCTTGTATAGTGTATGCCATACATAAATCAGAAAGTGTATATCTGCTAATGCCAAACTTCTCACTTTACTCGATCAGCTGAGCCTTTAGCTTGATTACTCGTACTGGTAAACATCTTTTCATCTTGGAAGTAGTAAAGTATCTAATGAAAAATGAATGAAAATCTTCCGAGTAATGGGTGACCACAAAGAAATGAGTATAGAAGATTAGAGACACCGTGCTTCTCGCTCTTTGATCGTGTATAAAGTTGTTAAAATTTTACAAATATAATACTTGACATTTGTGTGACTTGACATTCTTGACAATGAAACAAGGGCACTGTTATGTGCCATGTTACATGTTAGTATCGACTACAAAATGTACATGAAATTACTTATCTCTGCCAGCAAACCTTTTATTGAGTTTTCCAATTACATGAAAATTAACTTTTACAGTAGTGTAGAACTGGCCAGCATACTTGGTCTACATGTGTTCAGATACCATCGGCTATTATGATTTCTCAACATTAATATTGTTATTTGGATTTTAATTATTTACATTTTCTACATCAAGGTGGAAATACAAAACCCTGACATTCTCTCAAGTCAGTATTAAGTTTACAAGTGAAATATGTCAAATGACAATTTACATAATAATGTGAAGTCTAAGAATTATTATAAATCATTAAATCTACTAATGATACTTTGAAAACTTTGATCATACCAGCATTTTGAAGAATATGTGCTTGTGATCAGTGGTATTTGTTTAAAGCATATTGTGTTTCAGGGAAGGTGTGTGGAAGAGTGTTGCAGATGCTGGAGAAGGCAACACAGCATTATTAGACATGTTTCATGCAACACACAGGGACTCTCACCTGTCTTACCAATCTTGTGTTCAACCAACATCTGCATGTGAACGCAATTTGTTGTGTTGCATTTCCTTATTGCAAGCCAATGAAAACCTGCATAGTACTGAATGTCAAGTACTATATGTATATAGTCCAATTATTTTCATTGTAAAATATAAGTTATTTCATCTACATACATATTTGTGAAAATGTCTGGTGCTAAATAAAAAAAATAAAAAAAAGTATGATACCCTAGAGAACATTATTTAGTATAACACAAAGATCTACATTCAAGAAGTTCATCCCGAGGGTTTGTTTCTCTCTGTCTGTTTTATATATATTTGTTGAAGTTTGTTGTTGAGCTTGTAAAGTGTAGCATCAATGTGTTCCTTTCTAACTACATGTATATCCAGCAAAAAATATTAGAATTTCTTTTAAAAACGAAAATTGTAAATGGAAGTAATTGGCATGATAGTTTTGCGAGTACAATTTTATTACAAAATATTAGCAAAGTATAAATGAGAGTTGTATTGATGTAAATAAACAGATGTTGCATATTGTATAGTGATTTTAAGTTATATGAAATTACACATTCCATATTTCTGCCTCTGTTTAAATACTTGTATGTTATCTAGTGATAAAAGATTAGAATCTTTTATCAGCAATGTTCAGAGTCTGTAGTATGACAAATAAATATACAGGTAATGTTTTAACTACCTTTCCTGAAGTTGGAGGTGTATAGAAGGCTCTTAAGACAACATTGTCCCCCTGTAAGTTCCTTAATCCTGCATCCTCTTCTTGACTCGCCATCACATGATAATCACCAAATTTTAACTACTGTACATTAGTCATTGATGCATCAAGTTCAAAGTTGGTCAAATGCCTCTGTGATTAAATGTAGTTAAAATTTGGCAATTTAGAATGTTATGGCGAGCCAAGAAAAGGGTCCAAGTGTAATAATTCTATTCTCTACAACATTCCTCTCAACATAAACACTTTCCATCTAACTTATGCTGAAAAGGATCTTGTGAGGAATAGACTTCTTGTAGTGTCTGAGGAACCCTGCTCTCTGAGACTGCTTATTACTTAAAAGGGGTCTCTGTTTGTGTTATAGGTGTACACTCACTCACTCTCTCTCACACTCACTCTCACTCTCACTCACTCTCTCACTCACACACACAAAAGAACAACAACATCCACAGAGTTGTTCATCCTGTCAAACAGTATCCCTATACGCAGCTGGGTCGTGTCCCAGATGCAACCAGGGCATTTTCCCAGATACAGCTGGAGCGTTTTCCCAGGTGCAGCTGGGCTGTTTCCCCAGATGCACCTGGAGCGTTTCCCCAGACACAGCTGGGGTGTTTCCCCCAGACACAGCTGGGTAGTTTCCCAGATGCAGTTGGGGCATTTTTCCAGGCACAGCTGAGTTGTACATCCTGTCACTTGTACCCAGGTGCAGCTGGGGTTTTCATCCTGTTACTTGTACCCAGATGCAATTGGGACTCACTGAACTGTCTAAAGTAAATAGATGGTCAATCAAGTGATATACATGCTATCATTATGGGTCTGGAGAAACTTACTATAATACAGCAGTGCTTGAATGAAAGTGAAGACCCAATGTGTGTGTGCATTAGAACCAACTCTTTAGCTGGCACCTACATCCTTTCTCAAGGTGCTGTAAACAATGTTCTCCATTGTTTACATTGAACATTATTTACAAAAGCACCCTTTGAAAGGATGTAGGTTGCCTCTGAAAATTTGGTTTTAATAGTTACACATATATTGGGTCTTTCCTTCACATTAATTATGGGTCTTGTATGTGATGGAGTTGCTCAGGATTCCTCCGTCAACTACATGATTCCTTACAACACTATAGGACCCCTCTCCATCTACAACACCATTTCCACAGAGGGCTTTTACAAGACCCCTTCAACACCACTGGGGTCTTGTAGATGATGGAGAGGTCATGTCGTGTTGGCAGTAAAGTAATTGTAAATAACAGGCAACCAAGCCAGAAAGACTAGCACTGTGTTGTGGGATATAGAAAAGTCACTAAATATCACTCAGGAAGCCAATACAAAAACAAAGACATAAGGTGAGCTTGGTGAATCCTCAGATTCCCCAAGGATTCTATTGAGGGACATTTACGAAGCAAATCATGTGATCATCTTGACAATGATGACATTCTCCGAGGAGGTACATGACTAAGTGAAACAATGCAGTTCAGACAATAAGGGAAAAAAAATGTTGTTCCAGTAAGTTCCCGATATTTAAGGATATGTGACTGCACTTACAAGATACCTTTCAACACCACAGGACCTCATCGTCAATACTACAATATTACTACACCCTCTCACATGTATATGACCTCTTAACACAGGTTGGTACAGTTCTAGCTAGCATTTAAAAAAAAAAAAAAATACTGTACTGCAACTGTAGCCATCTTTGAAAAAGTATTGAACTTGGCTAAAATTGTACCCATTCTGATACATTGGTGCACTTCTAATAAAATTTGTGTGGTGTTATAGACGTCGTCTGTTGAAAGGGGTCGTCTGTTGGAAGAGACCTTGATGGTGATGGAGACAAGTCCTGTGGTGTGGCCATCTTACTTACCATGGGCCTGGTAAGTGTGCATTGCCAATAAATAATCATCCTAGGATGGAAGCTTAGGGATGTGTTCCCTCTACCATGGTTGTCAAGGTTCTGAGGCAGAGAGCTTTTGTCTACCTGGATGCTGGGCCACACACACTGGTGTGAACTGCAGTCAAAACCAATTGGTGTAATACATATCGCCAGTTTCTCACTGTTCCTGTTCATTCGATCCAGGTTTGACCCCTGAACAGGATTGATAGAACACCAATTCTTAAATATTTTCCCTCTAGTAATTGTGATCCTGGTTGTAAATTGATTAGCATATTATGTTCCAGGGAAATTAATAGGGTAAGACTCAAGATGAGGTGTCAGAATTAAAATAAAGGTTAGCCAATATGGTTATATATCACTATGTATGTTATAGAATACTTGTGGGAAGCAGAGCTGATTGCCAGGTAGTGGTATTCTCACACAAATTTATAATTGTTGAGTCTCTCGCAGCAAGAGCTTGAGAGGATATTGATGCGTTACTAAGTAGGTGTGATGAGTCCAGAGGGTGACGGAGGTGTTGAGGATATCGGGACAACGTGTTGATGGAAGAGGACAACATGCTCCAGCCTTCACTTGTGTCTCCTTCCTGTAGTCTTCACACACACACTCCAAAACTGAAACTGATTTAGAATGAGCTATTTAACCAACTGTATTCAATAAAGTTTATTATCAAAATAAATTATTGTATTAATAATAAAATATATGCTGAAAACTGCTATTAGAACCAATTTCTACATAAATTCTACATATATATGCATGTACTTGTGTGTGTAACCCTTCAACTGCACATATTAACTGGGGTATTTTCATCAGTGGTGCTAATGTCAACCAGGATTGATTTTAGGCCTAGCATAAGGTTTAAAACACCCATGGTTGCACAGGGCTCACATTTTCTCCCTCAGATCTGCAGTAAATAGGTGCTGCCATCTTGTAAAAAAAATCATGGGCACCTTTCCTAGGTAGTAGAGAGGGAGAGGTGGCATCATCTGCTGACTCTGTGTGGCAACCTGTTATTGACTGGGCTCACCATACCAGCTTAGTGATTCACTATGGTGAACACAAATGTAGATACTTATATATATATATGTCGTACCTAATAGCCAGAACGCACTTCTCAGCCTACTATGCAAGGCCCGATTTGCCTAATAAGCCAAGTTTTCCTGAATTAATATATTTTCTCTAATTTTTTTCTTATGAAGTGATAAAGCTACCCATTTCATTATGTATGAGGTCAATTTTTTTTTATTGGAGTTAAAATTAACGTAGATATATGACCGAACCTAACCAACCCTACCTAACCTATCTCTATCGGTTAGGTTAGGTTAGGTAGCAGAAAAAGTTAGGTTAGGTTAGGTAGTCGAAAAAACATTAATTCATGAAAACTTGGCTTATTAGGCAAATTGGGCCATGCATAGTTGGCTGAGAAGTGCGTTCTGGCTATTAGGTACGACATATATATATATATATATATATATATATGTCGTACCTAGTAGCCAGAACTCACTTTTTGGCCTACTATTCAAGGCTCGATTTGCCTAATAAGCCAAGTTTTCCTGAATTAATATATTTTTTCTAATTTTTTTCTTATGAAATGATAAAGCTACCCATTTCATTATGTATGAGGTCAATTTTTTTTATTGGAGTTAAAATTACCGTAGATATATGACCGAACCTAACCAACCCTACCTAACCTAACCTAACCTATCTTTATAGGTTAGGTTAGGTTAGGTAGCAGAAAAAGTTAGGTTAGGTTAGGTTAGGTAGGTTAGGTAGTCGAAAATACATTAATTCATGAAAACTTGGCTTATTAGGCAAATCTGGCCTTGAATAGTAGGCTGAAAAGTGCGTTCTGGCTATTAGGTACGACATATATATATATATATATATATATATATATATATATATATATATATATATATATATATATATATGTCGTACCTAGTAGCCAGAACGCACTTCTCAGCCTACTATGTAGGGCCCGATTTGCCTAATAAGCCAAGTTTTCCTGAATTATTATATTTTTTCTAATTTTTTTCCTATGAAATGATAAAGCTACCCATTTCATTATGTATGAGGTCAATTTTTTTTTATTAAAGTTAAAATTAAAGTAGATATATGACCGAACCTAACCAACCCTACCTAACCTAACCTAACCTATATTTATAGGTAAGGTTAGGTTAGGTAGCCAAAAAAGCTAGGTTAGGTTAGGTTAGGTAGGTTAGGTAGACGAAAAAACATTAATTCATGAAAACTTGGCTTATTAGGCAAATCGGGCCTTGTATAGTAGGCTGAGAAGTGAGTTCTGGCTACTAGGTACGACATATATATATATATATATATATATATATATATATATATATATATATATATATATATATATATATATATATATATATATATATATATATATATATATATATATATATATATATATATATATATATATATATATATATATATATATATATATATATATATATATATATATATATATATATATATATATATATATATATATATATATATATATATATATATATATGTATATCACGAAAATAAACACGTGATTAAGAATGTGACAATGTCAGACCACGGAGGAAAATGAAACAGGAATTTCCTTAAGTACTTTCGTATATTAAATACATCTTCAGAAGGAAGATGGTAGAGAGGTTGGTCAACATCCTTTGCCTGTATGCTCTGGACCTTCTGCAGTTGTTCCAGTAGTTCATTCATTGTACATACACAGGCTTTCTGTGAAATGGTATCAAATATGATTCCTTCTGAAGATGTATTTAATATACGAAAGTACTTAAGGAAATTCCTGTTTCATTTTCCTCCGTGGTCTGACACTGTCATATTATATATATATATATATATATATATATATATATATATATATATATATATATATATATATATATATATATATATATATATATATATATATATATATAACATGTGTATTTAGTGTAATAACAGCAAAAGGAGTACTGTATGTTGTTAGGAGGAATGTTGGCGAGTAAGGTGTTGAGGGAGGGAGGGAGGTACTGTCTGCTGGCTGG